TCACTGCTAAATTTAGCGTGGAAATCTTTCCGCTAAATTTAGCGGGAAAATTTAGCAACAAGTTTCCCGCTAAATTTAGCGGGGAAACCTTACCCGCTATATTAAGCGGCGGTTACACTGACGCCGACGCCGCTCAACTCGGAAACGGGTGCCTAAGAGCTGCGCTTTAAAAAATGTTGTTTCGGACCCTCAGCCACAGCAGAACACTAAAATCCAATGACATCCTAAATAAAAAGGGTTGGTTTGCGTGCTTAGGATTTCTTTTGTGTGGGAGGTTGTATATGACGTGAAAAGTCCAGTAGTTATTTTGTGACAGACATCTTTGTAGTTGAAAATAAATTTTTCTGGAAAGGGCAATAGGCCAGATAATGACAAATGTGCAATATGTTGCTTTGTAGAAATAAATATTTTATTGTGTTCATCGTTGTATGTGATTTGTCCTCTGTAATTATTAGAACAATTTATTGGCAATAAAAAATTGCTTGTCTTTTGAAGTGTTTGCTGAAGGATCTCCCTGTCCTCATTTGTAACTCACGCAGGAAGGTACGCACGCGGGTGTGTGGCAAAGCTTATACGCTTCGCGAGTGAACTCAAGGGCGTACTTTGCACGTGAGAACCTTAAAACAATATCTCGAAACACAGTAAGGATGAAAGACGGCCTCCCCAATAAATGGGATAAATAAGAAACGCACTAGATGGCAACCGAGAACGCGCAATGTTTTATTTTAATCGAGGGGAAACGAGTATGTGTATTTGATGGCTAGTTTTATGCTCGAGGCGTGTGAACAGCAAACGTCGCATATTCCTCCGTGCACATGTGCACAGTTGCAGGTAGTATTCAGTGCAAGCCGATGTCCCAAAATACTCAAAACTACATTGCCATTTCTTTTTTTGTCGTCAGCGTTTAGAGGAATTAAAGAAAGTTTTGTCTGCATCCGAGCGTTTCCAACTCCGCTCGGATTATTACATTAGCTGATCGAGACGTCTTCCCATAATTAGCAACTCCAATAAAGGTGCACAGGGGCTAGTTTCTTCACGTTAAAAAACAAAACTGTCTTCATATTTGAAAAAAAAAAATTCTGTAGTCCGCCGTCTGCAAAAACAAACAAGTACGGCCTGGCGCGCAGGCGCGCGCCTTGTGGGCCTCGCAAAAACAGGGCAGTGGGGGTCAGGCGCAGGAGGACAAGGAGGATTGCCCTCGATAGAAAGGAGAAAAACGCGGGGAGAGGAGAAATTACGCTACCTTTCAGTATATAGGTTGCATGCACATGACGCCAATTCGCCATTTTGTTGTTAGTTTGTTTTTTTCAAATTTACTACATTGAAGGGTCACATTGTAACCGGTTGAGATGTCACTGGTGCTCTACGCATTTGAGAGGGCATGCAAATCCTTGGAATGCTCGAGTTTGGCACACACCAGACAGCTCACAACAACAAAATGGTGGACCGAATTACGTCAGTGAAAACACCCTATAGAAAGAAAGCCGCGTGGTGCGCCTGCGGCCCACCTAGCGGCGAGGGGCGAACAGCGTGCAACACCCAGTTTTACCGCACCTGTTTCATGCTTTAGTTTTACCGACAATATTCATTCCTTTAAAAAAATGTGAGAATGTTAGCCATCAAAGCAGCAGAAAAACAAACTATCCTGTGTTATAATGCAATTAAATGCAAAGCTGCAAGCGAGCTGGACAAGAATGACGAAATTAATCCCTGGAGAAGGGGAACAAGGGGGACAAAGGACAAACATAAATCTCCAAACAACAGCTAGGTGACTGGTGAGCGACCGAAAAAAATCCGCCTGGTCCGGGTATCGAACCCGGGACCTCTCCATTACTAGTGGAGCGCTCTACTAACTGAGCTAACCAGGGGTTAGACATCAGTAGAGCAAACGGGTTTTATCAGCTGCCACCAGTCTAAAGGGGTGTCCAAACAGGACACTACAAAACTCACGACTCCGGCAAATCGTAAAAATTGAAGCGGGCGCTTCTATTTTTACGGTCTGTCGGAGTCGTGAAAATGTTTGCAGGAGCCGTGAAAATTTTTACGATCACGACTGCTCTCCTCTTCAGATTGACGTCACACGCCACCTGCGTCTGGCTCACCTCGCCAACGCCCTCGCGTACCGCCGTCGCCTCGGCTCGAAGGCCAAGGAGGTCCGGCTTCGGGTGGATTTGGGACATTCCTGCGTCGAAGGGTGCGTTTCGCCCGCCTCGGATCTGCTTTCTATGTCGAGATTCACTTTCGTCGTGATGGCGTCCGATGCGGTTCCGTATTGTGAGCGGAGGCCTTGAGCAATTGACCGACAGCGAACAGAGCGTGTGAGTGGCTCTCCGGACCCACGTGATAAGCAGGGCAAGGCCGCCGTGGAGGAAGCGAGGGGGAGATTTGACGGAGGGAAGTTTCCCCCCGGGAAGAATTGACGGAGGGAAATTTCCCTCCGACGGCCGGAAGCGGATCGCGGCAGAGCGCGGCACGATTTGCCGGAGTCGTGAGTTTTGTAGTGTCCTGTTTGGACACCCCTTAACAACACCCGGACCAGGCGGACTTTTTCGGTCGCTCACCAGTCACCTAGATGTTGTTTGGAGATTTATGTTTGTCCTTTGTCCCCCTTGTTCCCCTTCTCCAGGGATTAATTTCGTCATTCTTGTTCAGCTCGCTTGCACCTTTGCATTTAATTGTATTATAATATAACCTTAAATTTGCAAGCTTCACCCCTGTTGGTGTTAGACTGGTGGCAGCTGATAAAACCTGTTTGCTCTACTGACGTCTAACCCCTGGTTAGCCCAGTTGGTAGAGCGCTCCACTTGTAATGGAGAGGTCCCGGGTTTGATACCCGGACCAGGCGGATTTTTTCGGTCGTTCACCAGTCACCTAGCTGTTGTTTGGAGATTTATGTTTGTCCTTTGTTCCCCTTCTCCAGGGATTAATTTCGTCATTCGTTATCCTGTGTTACACACAAAAAAAAGAAAACGGAACTTTTAAGCAAACAATGAAACCTACGGTTCGAAAATTCTGATGCAGACAGCCAGGCAACACGGAAACAACTGCCGGGAAAATGGACACGGAGCGACAAAATATTGGGAAAACCTAAAACAAAGAAAAGTGATATCTGAAAGCAGGTGTCATAAATACATGACTGTGAAGATGCCAGTGCAAAGAGGGAAGGCAAAAACACTTTCAGTATGAGCATGTTACGAATTTTCTGCAAGTTTCGTCAATGCAGTTCAGAAGGGGCATTCAAAATGGATACAGCACCAATCTATAGCGAAAATTGCTGGGCAGAGCGAGGCATTCAACTAACGACGTCCCAACCGGTAGCAGCAAATTTCGCGGTGTATACACAGACTCGGCAATTAGTTCCCCACCGAGGTAACTGCTAAAATGAGGTCTTAGCACTGTAAAGGATGTCAAAACAAAAATCTTGGAAAAGTTACTCCACACTACTTAATTCACACACTTCCATTTGACTACAATCGACTGAGACAAGACCAGTTTTCAAGGCTCTTGTGACTGCTTACAACCGGTTGCACAGCAGTGCAGTAAGTTGTAAACCCTCACAAGAGGCTCAAAAACGAGTTTCTTTGGTCATAAGCAGTCACAAGCATGCCGGACCAGCCGTTACTTTAGTACCATAATCTGCAGCAGCTGAAAGAAACAAGTGTAAAAGTCAAAACTGTCGACCTTTTTGTTTTTTAATAATCAAGATGGAATTTAGGTCGTACATTAACTTTTAGCACGATTACATCTTCCTTCCCCATAGAAAAGAGTAGTATAAAAAAAAACAACGAAGACATTTTTACAAACATATTAGACCTTGTCTCAAGAAGAATACATCGAACAAGTTCAAGGGAGCTTGGAACAAGCAATAGAAAATGACCCAATGTAGATACAGGTGCAGAACACAGAGTAGCTGCTTTGAAATTCATTAGGCAATTTCTCCCATTCATTAACCCAGCCTCCAGATCACAGCTGGAGAAGAATCATATCCTACACACAATACGTTTGTGCGATGACAAATTATGGCATTCGGACGAAAGGCTGCAGAGCATTGCCAAAGAGTCTGACTGTATAGCCAACCAAGCTGGAAAAATGATAGAGACTTCTTGGATATTGCTGGCATTTGAAAGGCCTACCTGCTGCAGGCTTTAAGCCAATGCCCTTAGGGTTTGTTAACCTAGTGCATTAGCATGTGCCCAATGAGGCAAGGCCGTTTAGAAAATGGCCTGGAATGCTGCTGGGATTTGTGATGCTTCTAATGCATAAGCACTTCATTGCGGTGAGCTTCACTATAAAGCTGAGCAAAGGCCTTGGGACCTATTTTGCACTGAGTTATATGCATACTTTGATTGAAAAGGCATTGTTTTGCACGAGCTAAATTACACATGGGGCAGACTAAACTTATGGGCCAACCACAAGGCATTCCATATGTGTGCATTTGGTTCTGGAGTATAAACAACTACACTGACCAAAGCTTTTAGGGCATTGTTTGCACTTGTATTGTTTTTAAGGTGATAAAAATCTCTTAACTTTTTATTTTTTATTATTTTGCTGAAATTTAGCATACTGATGCATCTTAGTGGTGATTTTAAACATACAATTAGTCTTCAGGTAGCTTTACTAGATCCCGAGTTATCAATATGGAATTTTAATTAGGTGCTTCTTACACATTGTTAGTGTCTAATTAAGGCTTTAGAACTAAATAATTAAAATGATTGTATGACATAAAGCAACAGAAATAGCATCACTGCACAAAGCATGTCTTGGTGAATGCAATTCTATAAGCAGTTGATATATTCTAAAGAATTTTATGCTAACCACCCATAATGAGGGCCTAGTTAAAATTATGAATTTATTGATAGCTCAGGATATAGTAAAGCTATCTGAAAACTCATTGTGTATTTGAAATCACCATTGGAAAATACATCAGTATACTAAATTTCAACACGATAAATGAAAAATTAAGAAAGTTAAAGACCCTCATTCCCCCTAGAACACTGTTTTTGATAATGGTGGATCAGACTAGTATTATGAGAAAAGGCTCTGGGGGCACTGCTTGCACTTAAATGACTTCACCTGTATGTGTTAGATTATGGTTTTGTGGAGAGGAATTTTGAGCAGACTAGGGGGCGCTGCTTGCACTTAAATGGCTTTTCACCAGTGAGTTTGATTGATTTCTCAGAGCAGTATTTTCAGCAAAGGCTCGGGTGCACTGCTTGCACTTTAATGGCTCTTCACCAGTGTGTGTTCGATTATCGCTTTGAAGATGGGAATTTGTAGCAAAGGCTTGGGGGCACTGCTTTCACTTAAATGGCTTTTCACCTGCGTGTGCTCTGTTGTGGTAAGACAGACTCCTACTCTGAGAAAAAGCTTTGGGGCACTGCTTGCACTTAAAAGGCTTTTCACCAGTGTGTGTTCGATTATGATTTCTCAGAGCAGCATTTTCAGCGAAGGCTCGGGGGCACTGCTTGCACTTAAATGGCTTTTCACCAGTGTGTGTTCGATTATGTTTTCTCAGAGCAGTTTGTTCAGCAAAGGCTCGGGGGCACTGTTTGCACTTAAATGGCTTTTCACCAGTGTGTGTTCGATTATGGTTTTGAAGATGGGAATTTTCAGCAAAAGCTTGGGGGCACTGCTTGCACTTGAATGGCTTTTCACCAGTGTGGGTTCGATTATGAATTTTCAGGGATGAACTTCCAGCAAAGGCTTTGGGGCACTGCTTGCACTTATATGGCTTTTCACCTGTGTGTGTACGATTGTGGTGGGCCAGCCTGCTACTGTCAGCAAAGGCTTTGGAGCACCACTTGCACTTGGATGGCTTTTCACCAGTGTGCATTCGATTATGCCTTCGCAGATAAGAATATTGAGCAAAGGCTCGGGGGCACTGCTTGCACTTAAATGGCTTTTCACCAGTGTGTAGTTGATTATGACGACACAGTTCAGAATTTTTAACAAAGGCTTGGGGGCATTGCAAGCACTTAAATGGCTTTTCACCGGTGTGCAAATAATTATGGTAGGTCAGAAGGGAATTACGAGCAAACTCTTCGGGGCAAAGCTTGCACTTAAATGGCTTTTCACCTGTGTGTGTTCGGTTGTGGTAGATCAGATCTTTACTATGAACAAAGGCTTTGGGGCATTGCATGCACTGAAATGACTTTTCACCTGTGTGTGTTCGATTATGTCTTTGCAGAGAAGAATTTTTAGCAAAGGCTTTGGTGCACTTCATGCATCTAAATGGCTTTTCACCAGTGTGCAAATGATTATAGTAGGTCAGAAGGGAATTACAAGCAAACTCTTTGGGACAAAGCTTCCACTTAAATGGCTTTTCACCTGTGTGTGTTCGACTATGGTACATCAGACTTTTCTTCCAAGCGAAGGCTTTGGGGCATTGCATGCACTTAAATTGTTTTTCACCAGCATGTGTTCGATTATGACAGGTCAGAAGGGAATTATAAGCAAACTCTTGGGAGCAAAGCTTGCACTTAAATGGCTTTTCACTCTTGTGGTTCCCAGTGTTGCTGAGCACTTGGGATGAGCCAGACATGGGAGGATGCTGGCACTTGGATTGTTCATCACCATGGGCAGCCAGATGGCTCAAAATTGCATGCTGATCTCTGGTGACATAGGTGCAGGAACAGCATCCGAACCAGATGTCCTCGGTGACTTTCAGGGGGCAGCTGGCTTCCCCTAACCATCTGACTCCATCACCTACAAGAAAATACCATATGTATTGACACACAAGGAAAGCCCAACCAAGATCCAGATGCAGCTGTCCTGTTTAATAATTTGCTGCAATTTGAATTCGATTCACACAAGCACTCATTTGCAACTGGCACCATTAAGGGGAGTCTCCAGCCTTTTAAAGGACACATGCAAAGGAAAAAAAAAATTTTTTAGACAGCTTAGATGGAAAAAGGATGTCATAAAACGATTTTACAACGAAGAAACAAAATTTTTAGAGCTATATTTACGGCGCTATACGAATTTGTAGTTGGCGCTCGCGGTGGTAGGCCCGCGCGCCGCCGCGCTGCGTCGCCGCCGCACGCTGAGCGTTGTGCGAACGCCGCTTCAACGCGTTTCTCAACGCCACCGTCGCCGCCGCCGCACAAGTTCGTCTGCTTCGGGGCGCCGCCGCCGTCGTCTGACTGGCGCACAGGTCTATCACGTCTGCTTGCGCTTTTTCAGGGGTTCCCTTTGGGCTCTAAAAGTTACTTATTCGTCTTGGTTTTTTGTTATACTTCAAACAAAGATGAATAAGTTACTTTTAGAGGCCATAGGAAGCTTCCAAAAGAGCACAAGCACCACGTGATAAATAAAGACCAGTCACGTGATAAATACAAACCACTTTTCCACGGTGCCCGCGGGCGCCAACTACAAATTCGTTTTGCGCCGTAAATATAGCTCGAAAAATTTTTTTTCTTCGTTGTAAAATCGTTTTATGGCGGCCTTTTTCCACCTAAGCCGTTTAAAAAAAATGTTTTTTTCCTTTGCATGTGTCCTTTAAGGAGAACCGGCACGACGAGGCTTCTCACGTCGCTCACAAAAGTCCACTGTGCGTCCTCTTCGACCTCACACCGTTTTAAAGAATTTGAGATTGCTGAAAGGGCCCAAAGAACTTCAAACTTGAAAGTGAAGCGTTGTCTGCTTACAGCGATGGGTGGCAGACGCAGGCACGGAAAAGAGTGTTTGATCACGGAATGCGGGCGACACGACACTTCAGGTCGGGATGATTCGGAGGCGTGTGACAAACTCGAGTTGCAGGACGACTCCATCTTTGACGTCACTGCACTGCTGTGGGTCACACAGAAACTTTAAATTCGGCTTTGGGAAACTTTTTTTACTTAACAAATACTGTAAACTATTTATTGTTCGCGGGCTCAATATTTCGCGATTTAGGTGAAAGCTGAAGTTTTGGAATAATTCGTGTTTTCATTTTCGCAAAGCAGTGGGATCTCAATCTAGACTCCAATGAGATTACATTTTACCGGAATTGTTCGCGGGACTTATTTTTCGCAAATTGTAGACGATTCGAGAAATTTGCGAAAATTAGGTCCTCGCGAAAATGAAGTCATTTACAGTACTTAGTTCCAAACTTCTGAATCTGGAGGGTAATATCCAAGCACTGGTTTTAAAGGGTCCACTAAACGAATTTTAGGCCAGGATAAATGAATTTAGATTGAGATTTTACTAATACCATATTGTTTAGTGGACAAAAAGAAAGAAGGTAGAAAGTCAAAAGCCTGACTTTCAGTAAGAAAATTTGAAAATACAGAAGACTATTTCGTACCTCCTACCCCTCGAAAGCTCTCTGCCTTTTCACTGTGAAACATCCATGGTACCCAAATTGTGTCACCCGGCCCAAACGCACGTCACGCGACACTGGACCTCACTTATTCCCTTCACCCCTGAGCTAACAGTGCAGTGGAAGCTGTGCGCTTGCCGGACCAATCAGCTGCCTCCCTTGCATCAGGTGACCTCGTTCTCAGGTGGGTATGCGCGAGGGCGTGTGATCAAGTGGCAAAAATGTGGCTGGCCAAACGAGCACGTAGCTTCCACAGCACTGTCTGCTTCGGGGTGAACGGATTGCGGAAGGCAACTTCTGTTCCAAGTTTTGAGCGACAGGCTAATCTTCTAGGAGGAGAATGGTGGTGTTTGGGTACACAAACAAGAATCCCAGCAAGAGGGGTTTCCCTCCTTTCAGTCTTCTTGAACTGTTTGGTACAATGCGCAATTTGTGAGTTAAGGAGAGAACTTAATAAGGAAAAAGTTGAAAAACCTTTTCAAGTCCTTTCGGATTGAAAAAAAGATTTTGACCTGTCAGTGCCCCTTTAAGGAGAAAGATACAGGGCAGCATAAGACACACACAGGGCTAGACTTGAATATGCAGATAAAATGTGCCCTATATGTAAAGAGGAGGGAAACATTTGAACTTGCGATTCTAAAATGTAAGAAGCTTAGAGCTGCCCTTCCCAAAGGGGCGACAGACATACCAGGTGCCCCGAGTTTCGCTGCAGAAGATGGAAGAGTGGATTACAGTAAAGTAGACGCAATAATTAGGAGGTTAGAGTACCGGTAGAAATTATCTGGGGAAAACTGAACGAAGAACTAAGTAGCACAGATGGGGGACAGGAGGAAGATTGAGACTCCCTCCTTCGTGTCTCTGGAGCAGGGTCTCAACCCTGTGCCCCAGTGGGTCTGGTGTTGGAGCGACGCCAACTAAAGATTGGCGACTCCCTCGATGGGGGAATGAGAAGGAGGTGCGCGTATCTTGTTTGTTTGTTTTTTTCGCCGTTTCCTTAAAAAATACATGCAAAGGAAAACAATTTTTTTTTGGACAGCCAGGATGGGAAAAGAAAGTCATAAATACATAAATAAAACAAATTTACAACGAACAAGAAAATTTTTACATCTATATTTACGGCACGAAACGAATTTGTAGTTAGCGCCCGCGGGCACCCTTGGAAAAGTGGCCGCTATTTATCGCGTGACTGGCCGCTATTTATCACATATGGCTTGCACTCTTTGGAAGCTTCCTATGGTCTCTAAAAGTTACTTATTAATCTTCGTTTGAAGTACAACAAAAAATGAATATTATTAATAACTTTTAGAGCCTAGAGGAAGCTCCTGAAAGAGCTCAAGCACCACGTGATAGACCCGCGTGCCGGTCAGAAATAACAGTGGAGGCACGCCGGAGTGTTCCCTTCCGGCGGCTGCGGCGTAGAGAGACGCATTTAACCAGCAGCAATCCTAAAAAAATCTAAATTTTTTAGGATCGAAGCTCCTTAGGGTCTAGCCCTGTCTGGCGTCCGTGCTCACATCGATTGCTATCCCATCTGTCCTCTTAAAAAAAGAAAAAAATGTTTACGCAGTCGACAGGATTCAAACCTGTGCGGGGAGACCCCAACGGATTTCTAGTCCATCGCCTTAACCACTCAGCCACGACTGTGGGACGAGTAGGGGGCTCTGAAATGAGGTAGTAACTCAAGAGCTGGGGATGTGATAGATGAAACGTTGCATGTAGCCACTCAACGTCTATACAGGAGAGCGCGCTGCGGTCAAATGCGTGTATAATCGCGTTAACCTTTGCATGCATTGGCTCAACATCTATAGACGAGAGGGCGCTCCGGTCAAATGCTTAACTGCGTATATAACCACTATCCATACCACAGATTCTCTTTTTGACATGGACCGTTTACTTAAGCGGTGGAGATACGTTCCCACGGCTTCTAGCGGATCCAAGCTGATCCACCAGGAGAACCACTGGCTCTGCATTTCACCGACCATAAAGCAGTAATAATGAAGTCGAAACGCAACCCGGAACTCAGCACTACCTATGAGCAATCAAAAAACATCAGCACCATCAGCACTACCTATGAACAATAAAATCAGTATCATCAGCACCAGAGCTTCAACCCCAATCAACATCATTCACCATGTGGAGATGCGGTCATTTTTTTTCTTCGTAAATTTGTTTTATGACAATCTTTTTCCATCTAGGCTGTTTAAAACATTTTTTTTCCTTTGCATTTGTCCTTCAAAGGTCATCCCAGCAGTCACCCCCAAACCTGGTGATATTTACAGAACTGCATTGGCTAAAAAGGGGCAGAATCACATATTTGTTTTTAGTTTCGGTGGCACAAGCTAAGGCCCGTTTTAAAGGGTAGAGCTGTTAATATGCATCCTTCCATTCATCCAGATTTTGACCAAACATGTAAACAAGGTATTCTTATATAATTAACCAAAGGCAAAACTTCCTGAGCCTAAGAGTACTTTCAATTGGACTGCGCTTTGTCTATGTTTCAATGAGCAAGAGTTGGCAGCGCATCTCTAAAGTGTTTGTTCATGTAGAATAGGAAAGGGTATGTCAAAAGGATAGACCATGGATCGATGAGTGCACCAAAATCATACGAGGCCAAGGATAAGCACAGTTGCCCATTTGGCCTTTGTGCTCAAAGTTACGTGTCCCTATGCCACAGCGCATTGGAAACCAGGTCATTTACACGGGAGACATTCAACAAAACAGGAAGCAAATCAGTTGACGCTTTTGTAATTATTTTGTGAACGGGAAGCGAGTGTGTGCACCAGCTCACGTCACTTCGTTATCTGCCTGCGTGTCGTGACGGTTAAGGCTGGTCAAATGCTACTACCAGCAACTCGGCGGGTATTCAGCGGGTTGGCTGTTTGCCCAGCAACCTTGTGCCCTGATCCGTTTTTAAGGAGGTTTCTTATTCATACTCCCGCTTCCAACTGTCTTTTCGCTCAATTTTTAGCCCTTCTGGCAGGCGATTTCTGCTTGTTATGTTATGTTTTTGTGGCCGTAGTTTCTAAGTGCTCTTCGGCGATTGCGCATGGAGATGACTCTCTGCTCGCTCAAGTGCATGGTGGTGCCGAAGGTGGCATTCACAGGACGCCATAATTCAGTCAGTTCCTGCTCAGCGCGAGATTATGATTAGCTTTCACAACGCTTCTACAACATGCATTGCACACCACTAAGATTGTAGTTCTCAGAAAAGAAGTGGGGGCTCGTTTTGACGCCTGCGTTCGACGTGGCAAACTCTTTTCGTCCAGGAACTTTGACTGTGTAATAATATTTGCCACAAATGTTTCATATCTGCAATGAAAAGCAGCAAACCAGCAGTAGCATCTTACCTGACTGATTGAAACTGTTCTTTAAAGGGCAACTCCGCTCAATTTCGATATAAT